CTCATTTCGTTTGAATTTATTATATATTTGTTACCTCAACTCAGTCATTTATAAAACGATTTGGAAAGTTAATTTTTACGCGCAAGGATATATTTTCAGATTAGTCTTATAGAACAAAGTAAATAGTCTCATCACGATTGATGTCGGTTTTTTACGAACAAAACCATCAGTGCGAAGCAAAACGATGTGACGCAAAACGTCAAACGCCTGCTGAACAAGGCTTTCGGATGAAGTCGAAATAATTGTCGGAAACGAAGTAGTTCATTAATTTCCCGTGAATTATGTATATAGACATAAATAAATGAACATAAGTTTTAAAAATAATATAAACAAAATATTAATATTGTTTAGTGTCATGAATGTATTCACCAGTATGTCTATCTATATGCCCTTGTATTAATCTGCAATCCATCTTTTTCGTTTATCCAACTTCTGATAAATAACTGTATCTTTTTTTAATAAAAAACAAAGAGACAGATATGCATACAAAAACCATTTGAGAAAGTGGTAGAGAAATAAAAAAGAGAATTAGATCTATTCATTATATTGCCATGAGTCGATCTAGGATCTCCGGAGGAAGGAATCAATTTCATTTAAAGGGGTAGGTAAAATCAATATCATCATATCAGATGTTATTTATCCACTGCTGAATCCTGAATCTGAAATATGAATCCATTCCTTATGACAGTCTATGGGGCCTATGCCCTTTACTCTGTAATAAGGAATGGTCCTGAGCCACCTACATCCACTGATTCCCTGACGTGTGAGGTCGTCGCTCTATCTAGTGTTCTCTTACGTTGCCTTTGCCTGAACATAAATTGAAAGTGAAGACCGGTAAATATTATTTTTGTCTAAAAGGTCAAAATTCCCATTCGTGTTTCTACCATGAAACAGTTGTCTTTGCATGGCTGAGTTTCGATTTGAAGGGTGGGTTATAGCAGTGAATATACAAAGTACAGAGGAATAACACTTGAGTCCTCAGGAATGGCAACGCATGAACGAAACAGTATACTCTGTTATGTCCATGGTACTACTCATGTCTATGTGCGACGGTTACCACTTTCCATCAGGTGGGCCGTCAGCTTGTTTGCCATTCTAAGTTGCATAAAAAAAATTGGATACTGATTTGTTGTAACTGGGAAGACATATTTACGATACGGAAGTCTGAGAGACGCGGGTTGGATCTTGTTGGATTATAATTTATACATAAAATGTTGCAATCTTATCTTTAAGTAAGAAGTATGCATCATTTGTTACAAATTATTTACGCGGTATGAGTAATGTATGTCATCTACATATGTTATACTTGTATGTTTGTATGTTGTATGTTTTCGGTTATTTAGTGTTCGCATCACTTTAAGCGGACTTGAGATTTTTTATTCGTTATAGCGGCAATTGAAACACTTATTTCGACTACAAAGAGTCAAATTTTAATTGAGGAAGAACGTTGTTACTTCGAAAATTGGTTCATAATTTCGGTAAATGTTGGCCCCTGAGTTGATATGTTACTTTATTTGTTTGTATTGTAATAATTATTTGTACCTCTGTTAAATCCTACTACTTCTCCCGTTAGTACTATTTTCCTGTGTTCTCTATCCGTTTTCCTTCGTTAGTCTCATCTTTGTATGCGTGCTATTAAATGTTTATGTATATATATATATATTTGTATCCATTGGTATTATACATACATTGGTATACATTTATATAATAGTGCACCACCTATCCTTTGTCTTTTTCTTAATTATTATATATATTTTTCTTAATATTCTTAATGTCCTCTACCCAAAGGTTGTCTGGAAGAGATTGCTTAGCAATAAGGCCACCTTTTGTATCACTTCTCATTAATATTTATTGTATTTATTATTTTTTTACTTGGCAAAATAAAGTGTAAAATAAATAAATAAATGTATGTATCACCAGGAAAGAACAGATTATGAACACGACGTGTTTTTGTGAGTACGTTAATTAATTGGATCAATTTCAATTATTATATTAACGATCTGGAGTTACACCATCATCATCATGGTATCAGCTGTTATCTGTTCGTCGCTGAACATAGGCTTCCCCCATAAACTGCCATACACTATCCTATACTGATAATAACAATTATATTTATTTATATAGATTTTCAGCTAAATTTGGTGCAGTAAAGATATCTAATAAATGCATTATAATTTATTTAAATATAATGTAAATCTGTCTGTTGATAACTTTAAGCACATCTACTAAATATGTTCTATGTATATTAATTCTATTAAAATTGTTTTGATAAGTTCCAAGTATGACTAATATAAAAAAAAAAACATATGCTAAAAATAATTTAATTGTATGATTAAAATTTTCGAAGTGGGCAGATTATGATTATGTACATTTCTGTTTACCGGAGCCAGTGTCTTTACCAGATTTTTTTTTTAATTATTCGGATATGTTTTTAATAATGTCTAAAACAATTTGCAATTATAATTATTGTTTGATAACTTTTAGTATTGAACAGGTAAGATAAAAGTATATATACATAGGTATAGTATGTGGGAAATTACATTATCAAGATGTGGTAACAAAAAATGGATATTCGTTGAATCTCAACAAAAAATAATAGTAGATACAAAAACCAATAACCTATTAGGTCATATGAAATGAATTATAATTATTAAAGTTCTTATTAATATTATAAACGTGAAAATCTGTTTATTCGTTTGTTACCTCTTAGCGTTAGCTTTCGACCAATCATCATGAAAAAAAAAAATTAAATTAAACTTACTACAAAGGATGGAAAAGGACAAAGGCTATCGTTTTTCCCGCTCATTTCACATATTCCAGTTACGAAGGAGACATCGTCTCTAAAAGCTAGTTTATTATAATATCTGTTATTTGATACACACTATAGTTTTTTATAAATAAAACTACGGCTGACGTTTTGAAACCGGTCGCGTATATAAAGAATGAAAACATTCTACCAGAATAAAACAAACTAAACCATATAGTAACTAAAAACATTCAAAAGTAATTTTAAAATCGATAAACATAAATATTAATCATTAACAGACAGACTCGCGCTCGCGTCACAGTCGCTATTGACTAAGGATCTCGAACTGATTCCGAAACTAGTCGAGCTTTTTCGATCTTATTATACGTAAGGTAAGGTACATTAAAATATAATGATTAGTATGCTCTTATTATTATTAATTAAATAAAGAAAATATTGTTTTAATTAATTCATTTAGAAATTACAGTAAGTTCACTTTAATAGAAACATGTTTAATTGGTTCTCAGAAGAGAAAGTAGGTAACTGTGTTTTATTTTATTTTTTATTTTAATGACTTGTTGATTCTTTGCTATTTAATAAAATCTATCATCATCATCATCATTTCAGCGGTTAACCCGTTCTGCTATAAACAACGGTTCTAAGCCACCTGCATCCATCGACTCCCTGCAATATACGTGAGGTCGTTGCTCCATCTAGCGGGGGGTTGTCTTAATTAATAATTAATGTATAGTAGCAATATTGTATTTATTATTTGTATATATATATATATATATATATATATATATATATATATATATATATATATATATATATATATATATATTACCCTAATGGGAGACATCTGACAGATATGATGTAGTAATCTATACTTATAATATATTGTAGAGAATAACTATACATGAAATATATTTCCAAAATAACTATCAGGGGGTGATTTTTGTCTGTCTGTCTGTCTGTATGTTCGTTATAAAAACAAAAACTACTCGACGGATTTTAATGAAACTTGATACAATTATTCTTCATACTCCTGGGCAGGTTATAATACACTTTTCATCACGCTACGATCAATAGGAGCAGAGCAGTGAAGGGAAATGTTGGGAAAAGGGGAGAAGTTACTCCATTTTTAGGCTTCCGTCGCGTGTGCAGCCTTAATGGCCACTTTTTAAAATGTAAAAATGTCCACCCGTGCGACGCCGGGACGGGCCGCAGGTATTATATGTAGTAGTAATATTATATTTAATATTTACATCGAGTATAATGGATATTTCTCTTAATTTATTCATATGTCATTTACTTTTTCAGTTTAAAAAAAAATAGTAATTCTTTGTATTTTAATTCCGATACAACAAGGAGAGAGTATGTCACCTTCAGTGTTAAATATGTCTGCTAATAGTGTTTACAATCACCGGACTCGTAACTTTTTTATATAACATTTTGGCACAAGTCGGATTCGAACTTGCTACTTGCTGTTGAGGTCTTTTTGAGGGTAGTAAACTATACTACTAGGTACTACTCATATCTTTGTTATAAAGTATTGGTATTATCAACCATGCCTTCTCTTTGATTAGTATTTATACAATTAGTTTAGATACATACATTTAGGTTTATTAAATAATAAAAAATATATAAAAGATTGTCTATCACTAGGTTAAATATCTAATTACCTAATATAGGGGGAAGGGATTATTTGTAATGCGGACTACGAGTTCCGTTGCTAACAATATAGCCTATCAGGACGACCTCCCCGTGGACCGCCCTAGAAACCATCATGCTTAATTCCAGGTGTATTCATCACGATGAGCTAACTGACCTGCCCTTTCATTCTCACCTATCATCCCTTCACTGGTGTTCCGCCAGCGTATACCGTAAGCGCAGGTGAGGTTACCATTTCATTATTACCATTAAAAAATAACCTTTGTAGTCACATAATATAGATAGATAGATAGATAATCTTTATTACCAGTAATAAAAATAAAAAAAAAATCAACAATAAAAAGAAAAAAAAACAATTAATTTTGCTGGTAATAGGAGCCGCCTCAGCTGTTGCTATATATGTACAGCTCAAGCGAGAAGTAGGTACTATATAATATAATATCTTGATATAATAATCCTATATTATAAGTTAATAGTAAAATTACAGTCAAATATATTTTATCATATTTATTTGTAGGTTAAATATAAACGCGTGAAACGAAATGCACTTATAAATAGTATTATTTATTTAAGTACTTACATTATAGTATATTTCAATTATAATAAATGGTACAAATTCATTAGTTATAATATGTCATCAATTCGTTAGACAAATGATATGCCTGAATTATTAGATTTCTTTCTATTATTTATATACTTTCACTTATAATTTTACACTTCACTATCTATATTTATCACACCGATTCATTAATCACAGAACATAAAAATCTATTGAAATTAATTTTGTTTATTCGAGTCTTGTATTATTATTCGCGCCAAACCGTGAGAGTTTATTTTTTTTTTAATTAAAAAAGTTGTATCGTTGTCAATGCCCGCGTGGTTGATACGCTATAACGTTGTGCGTGCGTTCCGTTCGAACCGCGTTCATTCACTAAACGAAATTCTTTGGCAACAATCATTATAACTGTGCAGAATGTAAACAAATCGCGTGTTCTTTTTAATCTCATTAGTTTTGCCGGATACTTTGTGTTGTTATACATTTCTTCTTATTATTTTTTTAAAAAATAAGTTTTAATTTTTTTATTGAGATTCGTAAAAAGTTGCATATTACGTCTTTTGCTTATATTTTGGGTCTTTTTTTTTAATTAACATAGCAATTGATTGTAGTTTTTTCAATATGAAATTTGTGGTAGACAATTTTTTTACTTGTGAATTCAACTTTTATTTGAAAAAAAAAACAATTGAGTATCTTGTCCGTTCTTTTAAATTGAAATTGCATTCTGAACTAAGCGGTAGATTAATGAAAAATAAACATTAAAAATACTTATTACACGTATAGTTTCTTTTTATTATTTTAAATTAAATGTGCATAAAACTATAAATAAAAATCCTAAATAAAGAAAAACTGAAAACGCTCTGTTTAATTGTTGCATGTAGCATATGTAAATAAAATAAAAAAAATATCGAATGTTGTAATATTGTCTTTCAACAACTACAAATATTTTTCGGTAGGTACATCCAAATTTATGTACACCTATTCTATTTAAATTACTCGCTTGTTCGTATATATTTGTGGTACAGTTGTTTAAAAATTTTTTTTCTTATTTTACTTGTAAATGGGTAACCACTATGCCAAATAACGAATATTGAAACCGAATAACGTTTTTGTTAGTTGGTTTATTTCATTTTTTGTAAACATTTTTACCTAAACAAGTTGGTGTATAAGTTTTTTTTGGAAATGGGAAACAAATTTTGGAATGGAAACAATAGGTAAATAAAAAAATAAGTATATTTTGTATTATTAAACTCAGTTATGGACCAAATTAAGGAATTCTGAATTGAAGGTATTTCTATATTATTTATTTTTAGGTATATTATTTCATATACAAAAAAAAATACAAATTGGAAAAAAATAAATTCCCCAAAGACTTTTTTTATCTTTAAGTTATATTTTAAGATCTTGTTATCAATATTTATATTTTTAAATAATTAATAATATTTATTATTACACATTCGTACATATATTAATTTTATTTCATATTAATCTAGAGAAAATGGAATCCGTATTACCGATTATTTTATGAATGTAACTCTCGGTGCGTGGTTTTAATTCGCACTTAACTGGATTTTATTACATAGCAAAATATACTTTGGAACACACACAAAATATATAATAATATATAGTTTAAACAAGTATTTGGTTCTTGCAATATATATTACAATATGCTATTTACGTCAATCACGTTAACTACGACATTCGTAAATATTCAGGTTTGATGAATTCATTCCCCAATGTACCTAAGCATGACATATATATGACCACAATATTCCTTTTATGAGTTAAGTGTCATTTCCCATTACATGGTATTTTACATGTCGTTAAATTCTTCCCCATGAATGGTTTCATGACTACAGATGCTGATGTTACTTTATTTGTGTTAGTCATTTTATCGTCATTTCTTTTTTTTTGTTGTACATTTAATTCTTATTTGAAAATAGCAACAACTGTGTTTTCTTACCCGTTCTTCTCAGCTGAAATTGCATTTCGAATTGGGCGGTAGATTTATAAAAAATGACTTTTCAAAAATGTTTATTATTAAGTTTACTTAAATAAAAATGATTTTAATTTAATTTCGGATAATTTATTTATTTATTTAAACATTAATGCACAGTGACATTATATGCACATTTGGCAGACTTTACTGTAGATAGAATCAAAAAAATATTATAAAAAATATCTTGAGTTTGATAGTAACTAAGTCAAACAAAGACTGACTGTGGTCAAATGATTCCAAAATTGAATCTCAGCCAGAACATTCGAATTTTCAAATTCATGTTTGGTAATTTAAGAATTATCTTCATCTGCTTTGTGGTTTCCAGAGTATGCTTGGTAATCCACGTCAGAGACTATTGGCGACACAAACATAAACTTTTTATTTTTTTGTATCATCTTTTTTTTCTTTATGACAAAATAAAAAAAAAAAGAGGAAACTGAACGTAATATAATTTCTACTGCGGTTTCCATGTATTTATAAAAGTGGCATAGAAATATTTAACACCAGAAAGTTACAGCCTCATACAAGCACTGGTAGCATTTAAGGTTTAATTTTAATGAAATAAGGCAAACCTTATCGCCAATAATTTAAAAATAAACTAAAAACAATAAAGTAACGACAAAAAATATTGTAAAGTTCTTAAAAAGTTTTTTTTTTAATTCAATTGTCAGAATTTGTTATAAATTAATTAAGATATAAAGTAAAATTATGTTGCTGGCAGTTTGAAGCAGCGAACCTTTTTTTTAAATGTTATACCGTAATGACTACTTGCGCTGTGATAATTGTTTTTAATACGTTTTTACTGTTCGTGTATGATTTTTGTCTCATTAAAAATTAATAATTCCCTTTTCTTTAAAGTAATTATAATTAATACTTAATCTTACTTCACTTTTAATAAAATTTGTACGGTAATTCCGTACAAATAGGACATTCTTTAGTTGACGACATATATATATAAAATATTATATAATATTATGTTCATTGTAAATTTGTAATCTCTCTTTTATCTATCGAAAGTTTGACTACGGGATTTTTGTAAGCTAATACTTTAGCGTGTAAGCCTTACAACGTTTCCACAGATGACTCACAGCAAAACACTTTTATATTACATAACCAGACGTTTCCCGTAACTTTTCCTTGATGCATAAGTATATGTTAAATTAGGATATGACCTAAATGTGTATGAAATATCTTTAAAATCTGTTCAATAATTTTTGCGTGAAAAAATAACAAAACATTCATTTATATATTTTTACATTATTTCACGTTTATATTAGTAGAAAGATGTAAAAGCATGTAATGATGGAAGTTCTTTTTTACAACACAGAGGGTAAACGAGCATGCGGCTTCACAGATGGTAAATAAGAGTTGTTATATTTTTATAGTTCTTTTAATAATAAAATATGTAATTTAAATATTTCAAATGCTTTATTCATTATTTCTACAGCCATTAACATACAATAATAATAATCAACCAACCAGGGTCCACTTTTAGTGATGTTCCATATATACTAAGGGTATGATTCTACAACAGTCGCCCATGATCTTTATTAAAGATTATTATTAAGGAATATGCTCTTTTCTTGATGCTTTTTCTTGTCTTATCGATTTGGAAATACTGCTGCTGAAAGTTGTTTCCAAAGCGTGGTTGTAAGTTGAAAAAAGTGTCTTGAAAAATGCACGGTTTAAGACTGCCACTCATCCATATAATTAGGATGAGATTTTAGTTTGTGGCGATTTATACAATGGCGAAATTCAGCAGCAAGTTCTTAATCATATTTAAACAACTGTACTGTACTAAATCATCATTAAAGTTGGCATGCACTTAATATATGAGAGATGATCAGTGGGTCATAAATTACTTTTTTCCCTTTATGAAAATAGACTACTAAGATATTGTGTATTATCTATTTATGTATCAATGTTATAAGTATGTGACGTATTTTATAAAATTAGGGTATTATGAGGCTGACATATCCTTATAGGATAAAAGCCTCTAAATAAAAAAGATTAAAAAAAAATTACTTTTATTCCATTCAATTACATTTATCACGCGAACTAAGTCGTGGGCACAGCTAGTGGCTAGCCACTGTTGAACATAGGCCTCCCTCTATTGAGGGGTTTTGTCAGTAGTAACTGCAGTTAGCTTTGGAGATGTTTTAAGAGAAACGCTGCTGCACATCCCTCGACCATTAAGTTCCCTTAGTTGCTTCTTACAACATCCACGGATAATGCCGGGATCACACAGTTAGTGGTTTGTTATTCTATTAACTTATGATGTCCCACTGCTGGGCAAAGATATCCCCCATCTCCTTCCAAAACTTCCTGTTATGCGCCATCTCAAACCACTACCTTTTAAAAGCGTCTTGATGACTACGACATCGCCTGGGTCCGCCTCTGCGACGCTGTCCATCAGTAGGCACCTATTTAGTGGCTAGTAGTTTGCATTTTTATTTAATTACATCAAACAATGAAACTGCAATATATATATAAATAATCTTTTGTCTATGGTATAGGTACTTTGGGTAAAATTACTAAGAACGGAAAAATATATTCATTTACGTCATGGAAAGAGAATATGCTCTCACCTGAATAAATATTATTAAAGTTTTTAAGTAATTATTTATTTTTTGACTAAACTAGCTTTGTCTGCAACTTTGACATATTATTGTAGTTACAATATATATTAAAAGAAATAACAAATATTTTAAATCTAGGTAATCCAATATATAATATCGAAATATATTATAATATATATATTTTTTTTTTGCTCCTTACGCACGTCAAAGTTTTTTACGTATTTATATAAATACGTATCAGCGCCACACCTTCCTTTCTCGTGGGTATTGTAACAAGCGACTAATGGGACTAATAATGATAGCGTCTCTCTCTCTCTCTCTCTCTCTCTCTCTCTCTCTCTCTCTCTCTCTCTCTATATATATATATATATATATATATATATATATATATATATATATATATATATATATATATATATATTTCTAGGAGGTTCTTAATTCTGCTTGATTATTATTAAGTCTGCTTATTATTAACTCTAAATCAAATTGAAAAAAAATTTTCAATCTATTCTTTTCCTTCTTTCAGTTCCTTTAGTCGTGTATTATAAAATAAACGACTATTTAAATAACAAAATCCATGGATTTGAATATAGTATTAATGTTAAGTGTATTGTAATTATTATTATTGTAATTTTTTAAATCAATATTAATTTATTTAGTAATTATTATAATTGTTAAATGACGAATCATAAGAGTCTGTAAATCTATTACATATGAATAAAGATGTTTAGATTGGTTGATTTAATAATAAATATTCCTTTTTGAAATTCCAAAGTTTTGCATTTATATTGATTCGATTAAATGTGT